AAAAGTTGAAGAAAGAGGCAGGGGCTAATTCTAGCTGTAGAAGACCAAGCCAACACATTCATATAAAGCCAGAATTAAGAAGGCAGCAACAGATAGCAGATTTTGTTTTTATAGTAACAATTAAAGAAAAGATGTAGTTAAGTTTTTGTCTCAATATCTAGAAGGTAATAAAGATTTGGACAGAATAACCAATACAGAGTGGTTGTTGCTCCAAAAACTAACACATCCCAGTTCAATTCCATCTTTAGTCTAGGATAGTGTTGTTCCTTCCCTTATGTAGCATAGGTCTGCAATCTGGCAATCCTCTTGGACTCATAGTTACTGCTGGAAGGGCAGGAGGAGATTGTGACTAGGAAGCTCTGTTGACAGTTATTCATATTTTGGCCACATTGTATTTAGACGATTGTAATTCAGTTAGAGGGTACTATTTTTGAAGATCATTTGGAAGTTACAACTGGTCAGGGATGCAAATAGCGATGGACATGTTGCAATTCTTCCATGCTAACACAATTGCTTTGGGAGTGACACTGGTTTTCAGTTGGTTTCTGAATGTAATTTAAGATGCTGATCATCTTAGGACCTTGGGTGGGGGCTGTGATGGCTCCTAACACCTAGGATATGTTGTTATCAGGGACTCTTAAGTGACAGCCTTCTCTGTGGTGACCATTTTATACTAGTGACTGTTCTAAAAAGTAAGCAAGTCCTGGCTGTTTAGGAAGGCTGTCCCAAGAAGTGAAACTGAGTTGTGTTGAAAAAGTACTGCCAGACAATTACTGAATATTATAAGTATGACTGTATAATTTAACATTGTGCTATTAGTAAACATTTGTATTATTTATTTCATTGTATTTATTCATTCTATCATGTAATGAGGAGTTAAAGCAGTTCAGGCTCATTTTTGATTGGAGCAGCATTTAAGCTTTAGCAAATTAAATCAATCAATCAATCCATAAATAGTTCTGTGGAGTCCCAATCATCTTGGAATAGGTCATCCAGTAAGATGCAAGATCAAACAGAAGCTTGCCTTCAGAAATTGTGGGTGCTCCATCAGTGGAGGTATTTAAGAAGAGATTGGATATTATTTGTATGAAATAATATGTATAGAGTATCCTGCTTGAGTTGGACTAGAAAAACTTCAAGCTCCCTTCCAACTCTGAACTTCCAGTTCTAGCCTTCCTAATATATCTGGTGTGTTCAATTACATTATCTAAAAAGTGTGAGATTTGCTAGGCAGTAAAATAAATTGAACTAGACACTTGACATCTGATGAAGTGAGCTGCAGTTCACAAAAAACGCATGCCTTCTAATAATCTTTGTTAGTCAGAAAAGGTGTACTTTATGCTTCTTGACTTTTTTAAACTATAGACTAGCAGACTTCTACTCCTACTGAGATATTCTCAGTTCTTCCTTATTAACATCTGTTTTTCTGTGCAAAAGAATTGATATCAGACTAAATTTCCTTATCCCAGTCCAACTCTTTTTTTTAACAGCTGCATCAATTTGGTATTCTCCATCCCTTCCCAGCTTCCTATCCCTTCCCTGAAAGATTTCCTGGATAAACTAAAATTTCCTTTTGTAATATAATACCCTTTGCCTTGCTCAGAGCTAAATAGGCTGGATGCTGTTGCCCAGGAACAGGGCTCATGAAAGATGCAGCTTGTTGCAGCTTCTCTCCCCACCCAGCAATGGATTGTCCTGTGAGGCTAGAAAGGAAACAAGAGTGTCTGCTGACAGCTTAGCTCAGCTTGAACTCTCATTTTTCACACAGAGCTAATTAAAAACTGAAATTAGTTAAATATGGAAATGACACTTGCAAGCACTTTAGCACAGTACTGGTAAAATCCCTCCAGAGTGCTGCAGAATTACCTGCTGCTACGAAACTCCCCAACTGAATTCCACAGTTAAAAGGCTGAGCAAAAGGGAAAGTTATTACAGAGATTTTCAATTCAGAATGTGACTGTAAAATTCCAAATTAAATTTCATGGTTGCCTTTGGAGTAAGCCAAGATGTTCTATGCAATATGGTGTGTAAAAATGTCCCTGTATGCATGCTCTGATTATGTCACCTTTAGGCACACTTTTGGTTTTCCAAGATCCTAAAACAAGAATGCATAATTACCCTCTAGGCATTAAGAAAACATAACTTCTCTTTTGATGGAAAATCAGGCTGTAGAAAGAATGCATTTTTTGCAATGTAATAGCAAATGCATGCACCCATATCTTAGACTCTACCAGTTGAAATATATTATCTTCTGTACTTTTAATACACATCTATCATTAAGGATAAATCTGTAGATTCATACAGCAAGGTACCTAAAATGATATGTGACATATTCAAACATAGACAGAAATTTGCACTGTAGCAAGCATCCAAAGCAGTACTAAAGGTCTTTGAATGTGGTTGTACATTCAAGAGATGCTTGTGGACCTTGTTATGCAAGTAGAAATCTGTTTCTGCACATACATACGTAACTTTCAATTAATTGAAGCAATTATATTTATATCAAACATCTATGTTACACAAAGGACTGTGATTAATCTTGAGCAGATGAATACATTGTATTCATAATATTCAGATTATGAGATTGCCTATACTTCAAAAAAGCAAGAAGGTAATTTGCATTAAGAAAAATTGTGGTTTTTGGCATGCACTTTGGACAAATTTGCCTACAGGAGAAATGGTTTTCACATGACTCAATATTTTCAGGATGCCCAGTAATTTTCCAGCAATAAAAATGTTAAGATGTTATTGTTCCTTCTATTTTTCCTTAAGGCAACTGACTCCTATTGCCTGTCATAATAAATAATTAAATAAATACCTGTGTAGAAGGACTGGAAAAGGAAGACATTTTCAACAAGAGCCACTTATACACCATAAATCAATCGGAAAAGAATGCCGAACACCAGTAAATATGCCAGAATCACTTCTTTGGCACTCATCTGGGTATCTCTCAAAAACTAGGCTTTGCTAGTTTACAGCCTCAGTTGACTCAGCTGGAGACACAGGAGTACTGCAGCTGAGGCACCAGACTCCTTATGATGTTTAATTTTGAATGTGAAATGAATTTGTCCATTTTTTTCCACTTAAAAAAGGTTCCTGCATAAACTCTAGATTCCATAGCTCCTTCCACTAGAATAAAACAGGCTGCTGCACACAACTGAGATTAGAAACTGCAAGAATAAACAAAATGTGGTGATTTGTGATATTTTCCGAACCTTTATAAGACAGGAACATCATTAGATGTAATCCATATTAATAATTTGGCATTGCATGCAAGCACCAATTATTTGTCAGTTTTCCCCATCCATAATCTAATAAGGATGCTGTATGGCGGACTGCATATTCCTGAAACCCTTTTAGAGCATGCATGGTTTGGCAGATATCAAGAAAATTCTGTTTGGCTCTCATCATCAAACAAAAGCTGTAGCAAAAAGTAGAAAAAGTAGAAATGTCCGTTATGGGTTCTTTGCAAAGCTAAGCCAGAATACTGGTGGGTTCCACTCATTCAGATAACAGATAACAGATAATCAGAGTTGGAAGGGACTTGCAGGTCTTCTAGTCCAACCCCCTGTCCAATCAGGAGACCCTACACCATTTCTGACAGATGGGAGTCCAATCTCTTTTTGAAAGTCTCAAGTGATGGTGATCCCACAACTTCCGAGGGCAAGCTGTTCCACTGTTAGAAAGTTTCTCCTCATTTTCAGGTTAAACCTCTCCTTGTTCAGTTTCTATTCATTATTCCTTGTTTGGCCTTTGGGTGCTTTACAAAATAGATTGATCCCTTCCTCTCTGTGGCAGCCCCTCAAATATTGGAACACTGCTATCATGTCTCCCTTGATCCTTCTTTTCACTAGACTAGCCAAGCCCAGTTCCTATAACTGTTCCTCATATGTTTTAATCTCCAGTCCCCTAATCATCCTGGTTGTTCTTCTCTGTATTTTTTCTAGAGTCTCAACATCTTTTTAAAAATTTGATGACCAAAACTGGATGCTGTACTCTAGGTATGGTCTTACTAAGACTTTATAGAGTGGTATTAGTACCTCACTTGATATCGATTATATCCCTCTGTTAATACAATTTAGGATTGCATTAGCTTTTGGCTGCTGGCTCATATTTAGCTGGTTGTCCAAGATCCCTCTCACAGTTATTGCTATTAAGCCCGGTTTCACCCAGTCTATATGTGTACTTTTAGTTTTTCTTGCCTAAGTGTAGGACTTTACTTTTCTCTACATTGAATTCCATTTTGTTAAATATGGTCCAGTGTTCTAGTCTGTCAAGATCCATCTGGATCTTCAGCCTATCTTCTTGGGTGTTAGCTATTACTGCCAACTAATATCATCTACAAATTTGGTAAGTTCTTCTTCTATTCCCTCATCTATATCACTAATGAAGATATTGAAGAGTACTGGGCTTAAGACAGAACCTCATGGCACCCCACTGCTTACTACCCTCCATGTAGACTTAGATCCATTAAGGACTACTCGTTGAGTACGGTTTGTCAGCCAGTTGCGAATCCATCTGATGATGGCGCTATCTATCCCACTTTTTTCTAGCTTGCCAAAAAGTAGGTTGAATGCCTTGCTAAAATCTAAATATATCATGTCCACAGTATTTCACTGGTCTACTAATTTAGTCACTATGTTGAAGAATGAAATAAGATTGGTTGGCATGATCTGTTTTAACAAACCCATGCTGAATGCTAGTTATTACTTTATTTGTTTCTAGATGTTTGCAGATCTATTTTTTTATGATCTTTTCCAGTATCTTCCCAGGTATTAATGTTAGGCTGATTGGTCTGTAGTTTCCTGGGTCTTTTTTTTTTTTTCCTTTGGGAACCACATCAGCTCTTTTCCAGTCCTCTGGTAGTTCCCCGGTGCTCCAGGATTTTTGAAAGATATGGTGCAGTGGTTCTGAGATGACCTCTGCCAGCTCCTTTAACACTCTGGGATGTAATCCATCAGGCCCCAGTGATTTGTGTTCATCAAGATCAGACAGGTGTTATCTTACTGTTGTTGTTTTTTTTACTTATTTTAACTTTTATTTCTGGTCTGTCTATTACTTTTATGTTTTTGGCAGGTTGAGCTATAGTTTATTTTTGCATGAAAACCGATGCAAAGAATGCGTTAAGCAGTCTGCTTTCTCTTTGTTGCCTGTTACTTCCTTGCCATCTTCTCTCTTTAGTGGACCGACTGTTTCCTTGATTTTTTTTCTTGATATTTATATGTTATAAGAAACTTTTTAAAAAAATATATTTGACTTTTGTTGAAAGTCTTTGTTCGTTCTAAGCCTTTGCTTTCCTGACTTCTTCTTTACAGATTCTCGCTATCTGCTGACATTCTGCCTTAGCTGTATATCCCTCTTTCCATTTTTTGTACTTGTCCTTTTTTTCTTTTAATTTGCCAGAGAGATCTTTGTGCAGCCATGTTGGTTGCTTCTTGGATTTCTTGTTTTCTTTCTCAATGGTATTGTGCTGGTCTGTCTCCTATGATCATACTTTTCAGAGTTTCCCAAGATTCTTGAGTTGTTTTTCCCTTTAGGATTTTAATCCATGGAATCTTTCCCAAGTTCTCCCTGAGTTTATTAAACTCAGCTCTTTTAAAATCTAAAACTCTGGTGTCATTGCTTGTGTTTATGTTATGTTGAATTCTAGTATGATATGGTCACTCTCACCCAAGGTTCCTGCAGTTTCAACTCCCTCTATCACTTCTTCTCTGTAAGAATTAAGTCCAGTATGGCTGTCCCTCTAGTTCCATCTTCTACCTTTTGGAAAACAAAGATGTCAGATAGGTGGTTAGGAACTTATTTGATTTCTCACTTGGTGTAGAATTAATTTTCCAATTGATATCAGGATAACTGAAGTCCCCTATTACTATTGTAGTGTGTTTCCTGCATATGTTTGTTA